TGACTCCTGCACTTGGGACGGAAGAATCTCATCTGCACTGAATCAAATCTTAGAAGAGTTTGGGTGTTAATTTAATCTGCCTTTGGAGTATTGTACAATTGAATATGTCAAAGGTGAATCAGAAATACATTGTTAGTAAGAAGGAAACTCAGCAGGTATCTTGCTATCTAGTAGAATATAAAATAACAAATAACATATTCAATTTCAGTGATTTCCCATCATGCAGTAGCATCCTATGGTGGTTTATGAACATCCTGTGTGTATGGAAAAGAGAGGGTTAGTGGGTATGTGCACACCTGTTTAGTCTGCTTATCTATAACCAAGCATACTATCCTGGTGTTTAAGGACCATAGCAAAGGTGATAGCCCCAGTACATGGCGCAAGACCTAACTGAGTTAACCGAGTGGCTCATTGATACAAGACAGCAGGACTTAATGGCCAGAGTCAACAGAGCAGTCATTTGGTGCAGAACTGTGTGGCCTAATATCTAGCACCTGAGGGGTCACCAGTAAAAGAGGGTGTTAGTAGCCCAGGCAAAAGGACACAGGCCCATCCAACTACACCAACTTACCCTCCGTGCTGGGCTCTAGCAGTGGCAGAATAGTCCAATTCTAGTTCAGTGTGGAATCCTACCAAAACATGCAGAGCTTATCTGATGGGCAGATACCACTGCATCATGTTCCTTAGGTCACTTACTGCCATTGTCTCTGGTGAGGCATTTCACGAGGCTTTGGGTCTCCAGGTCTATAACACAAGTGCTTCCAGGGGTTCCATCAATCTTAGGGGGGTCTAAGCTGGCACAATTTTCCTTCCCATTTCCACCACTGATTCATCTACATACCATCAATTCAACCCAACCCACCAACAAGTGAATTTACACACATCACTAGATCAATTTATAAACATCAAATACAAAATTAAGAGCCCCATGAAACAAATTCAACTCTTCTTATGCCAAAAAAACCCCCTCCTGCATATCACCTCATCAATTCAGATTTTCCTTCCCCTTCTTCACTCCTCCATGCCCCCATTTCTCTCATGCTATTCTGTCCTCTGATAGACTACCACTTCTCTCCAAACCAACTAAGATTGTCCCTTCTCATCCAATTCACCGGGCCTTTCCATTGCTTCAGCAGCTCCCGGTACATGTTCCAGGCATAGGTGGCAGGGCTTATATTAGGATCCTTGTCGTCTTTCTACCACTCGCTTCAAATATGAGACAGCCATTTAATTTTCACAGACAACCTAAAGACCAGCTTTTGGATCTATTCTCAGACATCTGCTTCCCCTGCTGAGTCTCCAGCATATGACCAGCTACCTGGAATACACAGGATTAGTGACTGCTGCCCCTTCCCCATCCCAGAAGAAAATTGAGCTAGCCTCCTCTTTCACTGAGCTCCACTTACTCCCTGATCTATTACAACTTCTAAGCAAGTAGCACATCCCAGAGAGCATGGATGCGAGATAATGGAAAGAGGGAGAACTGATGGACTGGGGCTGAAAGGCAAACTATGGTCTTGTCTAGACTATGGAAGATATTAATCAACATGTCAGCTCTCCTCTCAGGTCTGCCTGATGTTACAGCCACAGCTCTAACCACATTAAAAACATGCTGCTCTAACTACACTAGGCTGTTAATATTCATTAGCTAATGCTTTCCAAGACAAGTCCTAATAGGTTCAAGAGAGAGGAACCAATGGGAAGCCTGAAGAAATAGAATTAATGCATTAGATCAGACCTGGGCAAAACACGGCCTATGGGCCAAAACCCGCCCACCAAACCACCAGATCCGGCCCAGAGAGGCAGCAGGGAGCCCCAGGCAGGCTCCTCTGCATGCCCCGCATGCAGTGCAGAAACACGGCTGCAGGGCTCTATTTCTGTTTTAAAACTGGAGGGGAAGTTTCAGGACCCCCCGCCCCAGCACAATCCCATTGGCCAGTTTCTGGCCAGAAACCACCCAATGGGAGCTGCTTGTTGGAATAACAGGCAACAAAAAGAACCACACCCCCTCAGCTTAGTTATTCAATGAAGCACATGGCTCTAACAAGCAGGCAGGCAGGGAAACATTTTAAGCTCTGCAGGCAGGCAGGCTAGTTTGGAAACTGGTAGGTAAGTCTCTTGGTCACAGCCTGCTTCTGGCACTCCAGCCCTTTCCTGACCCAATCCTCTGTCCCGCCCCTCTCAACATACTCAAACCCTCTGTTCCCCTCTTGCACCCGTACCCCCTCCCAGATCTGCCACCCCAATCTCCTGCCCCAGATCACATTACCCTTCTACTCTAGGTCACATCCCAAAACCCTGCACTCAAGTCCCCTGCCCTAAGTCACAACTAATTCCTTCAGCAAAACTCCCTCCCAGACTCCAATCTCCCTCCTGCACCCAAATCCCTTACCCCAAGCTCCCTTCTGGATCCAACCTTCTTTCCAGATCCCATACCTCCTCCATTAACATCATGGAAGAGTGTGGCCCCTGACCACTTTCCAAAATCTTGGAGTGGCCCGCCATCAAAAATTATTGCCCACACCTGCATTATATGAAAGTGCAATAATAAAAGTAAGACTAATTGAGGAGGCAAGGGGGTGAATTGTGATGTGAGGAACCCACTTTCAGATCCTTACATTGGTTTTCAAGCTTTTTGCATTACCAGTGCAAGCAGGCAAGGCCTGAGAACAGAACTGATGGGGAAGGCCACCAGGATTAGAGTTGACTGCAAACCCTCCCCTCCCCCAAACAATGAAATTTCCATTTTTGTCAAAAATAAGTTAATGCTTTTGTGGAAAAAACAGTAACTTGAGAGTGGATAAAAAAGTTCTCTACACACAGCCTAAAACGCTCCCTGAATCATTTGTGGGCATTTCATAAGGAGGCTCATGCCAAGCATCTCTCCCTTCTCAAATATTTTCATTTAATGGAGGATGATTTGTTTCTGTAGCAAACATAGTGTAGAAGAACTGGTGGAAGAACCCAGGAGGCAGGTCACTCATAATATAGAAAAAAACCTGAAAATAAACTTTGCCAGCCTAACATAGGATCTGGCAACAGTGCACTCCTAGATTCAGATCACTGCATTTCCATGAGACTTGTAATATTTCCAGTATTAAAGATACATCATGAGATGTGCTGGTGAGAGAAACTACTATACAATAGTGTACATCTGTCTCAAATTTCAGCACAAATTATTTCATATCTAATAATCTTTGCAGAAATTCTAAAACTCCTTTTGAATTTACATTAGAGTTTTGCTCTTGCCTAGAAAACAACTTTCTCGCAGCTCACAGATTCGTAGTATAAATACTTACAGATAAACAGAAAGCATGCATGCACAAGCTCATTATTCTATATGGGTTTACAATAAAAATAATCAGTTCTGTTAACTGGCAAAGCAACACATCTTTACTAGACATTTGGAATGAAAGGGATACTGTAAAACCTCGAATATAATGCACACTTTTTTCCGAGTTTTTTTGGGTCAAAGTCGGGGTGTGCATTATATATAGGAGTTATTGTTTAAAATTTTATTTTGGCAGTTCTGTGTCAGAAGACGATGAACCTCCGCTATGCCGACACCACACTAAGATGGCAGTAAACATGAAATCAACATCAATTGAAATGGCAGAGATTCCAAGAATGCTTTAAAATGTTTAAAAACAATAAGTATGAAATTTACGTCTTACTTGTCGTATGAAATAGTTTATAGTTAATTAATTGCTGACATTTATGAAAATAAATGCCATGTATTCTATAGTCGTACACTCATGTGCAATCAACCGGCAATACAAAAAGGCAGGAAATACGATCACTTGAAATCGGATAGACTATATTTAATGACGCCTTCATATCTATGACGACGGGTATCATAAAATACATGTACAATGGGCAAAATCAGGGTGCACATTATATACAGGAGTATAGATTTTTTCATGACGATAAAAATCAAAAGTAGGGTGCACATTTTATATCGGTGAGCATTATATTTAAGATTTTACAGTAATTTCTTGTATGCCTGCAAACAGCAGCTACATATGTGATTTTTTGGTGGTAAAAAAACCCTCAATAGGAACATGGGATCCAAGTTAGAATCCACCAAAGTAGGTGGAAATAGTCTTATTGACTTCAATGAATAGACCCTTGGAGCAGATTAAAAGCTCCCTTTTCAAAGTTCACTGCCATTTACCATGTCCATTGCCCATGAAAAAAGCCAGATTTACAAAACACCCTGATAAATGGACTGTAGCTAAACTATTGTTTGAAAAATGTTATTAAAGAAACATATTTGATAGGAAAAATCATCTAAATAAGTTTCTCCAAAAACACACTTTTGAATGAGGATGGGGAGGGAGGGGTTCAGGAGAAATTAATCACTTTAAAAGGTTTAAAGCAATCTTACCACTATGATCCAGTACAAAGTCATCTTGAGCATAACGATATTTTTCAGGTCCACATGCAATGAAAACATCATCATCTCCAAAAAAGTCCTGCAAGCAGGTAACCTAAAAGCCAAAATAAGTAAGAAAGTGTGCAAAAGATTTCCAAGATGCAGGCAATAGCAATGAAACCCAAGAGGTGTGGGCTTTCTTTTTATAGTGCTTCAATACTAGGTATTGTTTTTTTCCCCATGACAGACGCCAGTTTTCAAATATTGTAGTGCAGTGGCTCTCAACCAGGAATACATATACCTCGGGGAGTATACAGAGGTCTTCCATAGTGTGCATCAAAGCATCTACGTATTTGCCTGGTTTTATAACAGTCTACATAAAAAGCACTAGAGAAGTCAGTACAAACTAAAATTTCATACAGACAAAATGAGAAACTAAGCAATTATTTATTAACAACCTGCTTTGACACGGTTGAATTACATCTGGTTTTGTAACTAAGTTTTTAAGTGAGGTGAAATGGAAGGTAGACAAAACAAATCATATTCCTGAATAGGTATGTAAAATGCTAGTTAATCAGTTAACTGTGCAGCATCCAGGCCCATCGTGGACAGAGGCTGCTCTGGATGTGAGCTGCTCCAGACCTCAACCTGTATAAGAATTAATAATTTTTATTATAGGTAAGTACGAAACTATTTCTTCTTCAAATTTCAGGCAGACAGCAATTTAAACAATGCCATTTTGTATTTAAAACCCATACAAAACCAAAAACTATAGTATGTGTGGAAAGTGTTATATGAAAAACAGTATAACATTTGGCAGAGTCCAGTAACAGAAGTACAGAATACAACTATAGGTTGAAACACTCTTAACTGGGATTCTCTGGTCCAACAACTTCTGTGGTCTGGCAGGACCATAGATGTTTCAGGACCAGAAAGTCCCAGTAAAGAGTTAGTTCATGGGAACCCTGGAAGCTGACAGGGCAGCAGGAGATGGACACGTGGTAGTGGGACTGCCCAGTAGGGGAGTGGGAGCCTCGTACATGGAGGCAGTGGGCTGCTGGGGGCTACAGCAGGAGCCCAGAGCACATGGAGATGTCGGGGCTGCTGGGCACTTCAGTGGGAGCTGGGGAATGGAAGAGCTGGCTGGGAGGCCAGCAATTAAGCCAGGGCTGGAGGGGGCTCGTGTTGGAGTGGCCAGAAATGACCTCCTCAGGTCTGGCAAAAATCCCTGATCTGGGACTAGTCAGGTCCCAAAGGTGCCAGATCAAGGAGGTCCAATCTGTAACAGTATGTATGCCTGTAAAGTAAATATTGCCAAATATTCATCAGCAGCCCACTGCACTGAAAATGGTTATTTGTATCTAGGCAGAGCTGGAGCAACAAATAGGACTTGCTGAGTTCAAGAAATACATATGGACAAAGTAGATGCAGGACAACAGGCTCTTCTGCAGATGCGCATGCCTTAGATCTATTTCTATCAGAGTCAGTAGTTAAGTTCCTGTCAATTTCCATGGGGGAAGGCTCTGAAGCTTTTTCTATAGTGGGGAGCACCTCCCTGGGAGAGCAGTCTCTCCAGAAAATCTGATAATCTTTGTATGCAATATGTGCCACTGGGACTCTATAACTTGCTATGGTAGATTTTTAAATCCTGCCCTTTCACTCTTACCCTGAATCCCAATGTCAGAGATAAATAATCAGATCTAGTAATCCATGTAAGAACGTAGGGAGGAATTTTCAGAAGTGTTCATCTTTGGTCTGTTTCCACTGAAATCACTGCCTTACATGGGAGTTGAGTTAGGCAAACCCTGAGCAACCTTCAGTTTATTAGTGGTAAGAGGAAAGCCTTTGAAACAGATTTAAGAGAAAACATACATACAAAATGGAGCTTGCATGGTTAGTATTTGTCTGTATCCCTTATGCCATTATTAAAGCAGCATTGTTTAAGACAATTCTCCCTGTGTTCGTCACCAGCTTAGTTTTGCTCTGATCCCGAAGTCAGGACATAAAGCCCTTGCACTAATCATAACAGCGTATTAGCTGTGAAAGGACTACAGCTATTATGAATACAAATGCAGCGGAACCTCTGTACTCTTGATGTCCCTAATGTGGGAATACTTGCGGTACAGAGGAGAAAGCAGCTCTGCGCCCTGCTGCTCCCTCTTCCTCCCCATATAGTGGAATGGCAGCAGGCAGAGCTGCTTCCCCTAAGGCTTTTTCCAGCTGCTCCCATAGTAGCAGGGGTCAGTGCCTGGGAGTGGCAGGGAGTACAGAGCCATGTGTGCCGGGGAATGGGATGGCAGGTTAAGTGCTCCACCCCTACATGCTCAGACCCCACAGCACCCTACCTGACCCAATACAAGCTTTAATTTGACACACTATTTCCCAGGGTTGCCAGATTAAAGAGGTTCAAGAGTACTAGGGCTTGTAGTATATAACTTGACAACACAGTCCAATGTCTGGAGAGGACAGCTTAACAAAGAACAAGCCCTCACTTAAAAAACAACAACACAGAAGGACCTACAAGCACTGCTCGTTTGCAAATAGAGAAAGGAAAAGTGGGAAGAGGTCTGAAGAGCTCTTTAACATTAGAAATCCTGCTATAGCTACAAGCACATCAAACATTTAGCAAGATCAAAATAATGTTGCACAGGTAATAAAGAACTAAAATCTAGTGTTACTAAGGAATGGGCTTTTTCCTTCTAGTCCAGCTGCCCAACAGTAAAGTTCATATATATTACCAACTGTGATAATAGTAAATATTGGCTGATGTACAAGGGGGGTTTTTACTGCCTGCAATAGAAAGACACTCAGAATATCAATGACTCAGCTGCCTGCAAGATCATTCAAACAAGGCATTCACAAGCTGTACAGTTGTCATGGCAGCTAAAACAGTGATAACAGCATGTTGCTCTTACAATAAGAGATTCTCAGTGCACTAAACCATGTATTCTAGAAATCTGTTTGATTCTATAACAAACCTCAGTCATTACAACACTCCTTCCACCCAATGACAAAACCTATTTATCTTTATCATCCCAATAACGAGGATTGTCTAGCATCATTGACTGGAGACACATTTGACCTGTACTTAATATTTAGCCTTTAACTCCCTATTTGATTGTTTCGACTGGACAAGTTATAGGACTTTCAATTCTTGCTAAGTAAATGATTTGTGTCTTCATTTTTTTAAAATATTGTAAACAATGTAGAGTTAATTAGCCCCTTTTATTGGGAGATATTATTCCAGATATGTCTCTTAGCCATATGCTAATTGAAAGTTGTTAGTCTCTCTCATTGTTAGGTCATAATACTCACCTTAATAGCTGAATGACTACCTACGATATTTACATACCTGTAATTTTGATTTGATGGTGCACCTGCCAGTGAATAAAAACAAACAACTTATATTAAAAACAAAATTGCTGCAGTGCTCCATCCCTTTTTGTGATCTGTGGTTTCAGAGGGAGGCATGCTGTGCCTGCATAGACTGGTGATCTGAATCCCGGCTCAAGATCCATAGTCCCTGATCAAAAGCACAGTCTCTCTACTTTATTCCTGCATGGCCCTATTACCAACAGTGGCAGTGTAGCCAGTAGCCAGACTGCCAGAGCCATCGATTATCCCTATCTATTCAGAGATGAGGGAATTAATGCTGTTTTAACTGGTGTTAACAATGACAACATATTCAGGCCTCCTTTTCGGATAAGAGAATGGATCTCATCAAGCTCTCTGATTTGTGCACATAAGGGATTTCTTCAGGTAGATTAGGGGTGTTGAATCTTTTTTAGGTCAGAGGAAAAATCAGTTGGGAGCCACACAAAAGCGAAAAACAAAGTAACCAAAACAAAACCAAGCAAACCTCCGAGCAAGAGGCTCCATCATGTGCCAACGAACCAGAAACTTACTTGTTTGCTGAACAACCTACACTGTGGGCTAAGGTCGAGATACGCTAAGATACGCAACTTCAGCTATGTTAACTGTATAGCTGAAGTCAAAATTGCATGACTCTAGTTTTGGCGCTGTCTACACAACAGGAAGTCGAAAGAACATTCTTCCTTTAACTTGCCTTACTCCTCGTGAAATGAGGTTTACAGAAGTCTGAGTAAGAAGTCTGTTATTTCGAAATTATTTTGAAGTAACAGGCTTGCAGTGTAGACTCGCTCTCATTTCAAAACAACATCAGTTATTTAAAAATAAGCGTGCAGAGTAGACAGCCTGAGAGAACTAATTATGAACTAGAAATTATGAAAATTTGCAGAACATGAAATAGATAACACTATACAGAAAACTGCATTTTAGCACGAGTAACGTGCAGAACAGAATAAATAAAAATTAGAAACATTATTAATACTAATAATTTGCACTTCTATGACAACTTAAGAAACTGGTGGCTAATATACCATCATTTTATTGATGGAGAAACAAAAACAACTAGGCCAAAAGTCAGTGTCAAGAGTTGGAAAAAGAACGCAGGTCTCCTGCATAACCATTGCCCGCTCTAGTTCTCAGCCACACTGACATTACTGCTTCTCAAATCATTAAGCAAAGTACATAAACAGTAACGTGTAGATTTTTAAAAGGAAAGCAAACAGATATGCCAAAATATCTTACAAAAATATATTTCTGACAAAGATTTACATTCAAACTAGAAAGTTTGCTCCTCCTACAGGGAAGCTGCTTCAGACAGTAGGACAACCATCAAGCTAAAGTGCCAGCAAATAACCTGCTGCCCTTAAGTACATCCCTTCCCCAGTGTAATCAGGAAGGGTAAAATATAATTTGTAACTCACGGTGTTAGAACTGAAACTGAGACTCAAAAGGGACCTGGCCTTTTCCTTCCAGAAGATAAAGAAAATGTTTAGTCTGTAAAATACAAGCTGACTATCTTTTGTGATTAACTTAGAGCTGCAGAAAAACATCCAGTGACATTACTACTCACAGGATATTATTTCTGCGTCCCTCTTTCTCCTGGGAAAATCCTATAGCATTTAACAGGAATGATATAGAAATATAAAAAAGTTTGGTAGAAATATTAGAAACTTTATAAAGATTTAACCTGTCTATAGGGTTTTAGAGTCTGTTGTTAGAATTCTGTGCCGGGTTTTTTTTTATCCT